GTCAAGGTTTATTAAACACTTGGAGGGCCAGGGAAGGCTTTGTGGCACAGGGGAAGGGCTCTGTAAGTGTTTATGGAAAGAAACATTTACAAGAGAGTAAACAGGAGCATACATTAAAGTGTAATCTTATTCTATGAAGGAAATAAAGGAGTCCAATGGAATGAGGGCACAATTTTATTGAGTCTAGGAAATGAGCCAGGAAACAAAGGATGGGGATAAATGGCGCATTTCTGAAAGGAGTTCCTTAGAGACAGGGCTAAGGGCTGTTTAATTAACATGTAAAACTACTCTAGAGGAAGGAGCGCAGAAGAAATTCTCCAAGGTTTGCTGATAACACAAAACTCCTTGGGAGTGATGGAAAGGATGGTGGGAAGTACTCAGGAACCTGAGTGGGTGGACCACGAGGTGGTGTCCGAGCCTTAATGAGAAGGCCAGAAGGGGACTCATGGGATCTGATTCCAAATAGTGTCCGCGAAACCAAGGAAGTCCAGCTACGGCTGCTGACCGAGGAGAGGACCTGGAATTGAGTGCAGACTGTTCCTGAGCACGTTAGCCCAGGAGGGCTCTAGCCAGAGACCTCGAAGAGTTATTGGGGACTACTTAGCTTGATTCATGAAAGAGTAATGAAATGGGCTGGAGAGACAGCACAGAGGTTAAGGTGCTTGCCTTGCATGCTGCCAACTCCAGATGGATCCCAGCATCACCTATGGTCCCCTGAGTACCTCCAGTGGTCGCATCTGAGCACAGAGCCAGGAGTAAATCCTGAACATTGATAGGTGTGCCCCCACCCCCAAATAAGAAGAGCACTGTAATGATAAGCCTGTGAGAACCTAATTCCCACTGAGCATGGAGGAGGTCTGAGAAAGGACCGCTGTGCTTTTTGCAGGGTTCAATAACAGAGAAAAAGGTCTGAAAGGCGTGGGTTCAGAAAGTGCCACTCTACCCATGTACAGGACTAACCCCACCTACCACCAGAGTGCCAGTCTCAGCCACAAAAGACCCTGACCTCCCCGCCCACGGCACTTTCCCTCTAGAAATAACCACAGCTTTCTCCCAGGCTCGGAGTTAGCTTTGTTGTTTTGCCAGTTTGCTTTCGTTGCTCTTATTTGAGCGAAACCATCTGGTAATTGTCTTTTACCTTCTTAATTATTTCCCTTAGCAAAATCACCTCAAGTTTTTTTTTTTCACTTTGCCCTAAATGGGAACATCCTTTTTTTAAGGGCAGAGATAGTCTTCATTAGGCGACTCTACCATTCCTTTTTATTCAGTCTGTTGACGGGCATTTAGAGTCATTCCGTGCTTTGGCTATTGTAAATAACGCTGCTGTGAACCCAGGGGTGGAATTCTTTTTAATTTTTTTCGGTAATTATCTCTTAAAATTTGTGTTTTCATATCTTTTGGATAACTGCCTAGGAGGGGTATCCCTGAATCACACAGTATTTCCCTTAAAAATTTTATATATATATATATATATATATATTACAACAATGTAACATTTTAAAACACTATAATTTAATAGTGGGCCAGAGCAATAGCACAGTGGGTAGGGCGTTTGCCTTGCACGTGGAAAGTCCGGTTTCGATTTCCCCGCCCCTCTTAGAGAGCCCGGCAAGCTACCAAGAGTATTCCGCCCACACAGCAAAGCCTGGCAGGCTACCTGTGACGTATTCGATATGCCAAAGACAGTAACAAGTCTCACAATGGAGACATTACCGGTGCCCGCTGGAGCAAATCAATGAACAACGGGACGACAGTGCTACAGTGCTATAATGTAATAGTATAATGTAAATATAACATGGATATATTGTATTATTAATATTAAACGTTAATGCAACACTATGATATTATGAAGTCCTATTCCTTCCCGCCCTCCCCTGTTCCTTGCAGTATTTCCGTTTTAATATTCAAAAAAGGTATCTCCATACTGTTTCTCCAGAGGCTGTACCATTTTATATTCTCACCAGCATCATGCAAGAGGTCCTTCTCCTCTGCACTCTTGCCAACATTTGTGGCTTCCAATCTTCTTCGTATGCAGTAGGCCATTCTCACCAGAGTGAGGTGAGATCTCCTTGTGCTTGTGGTGTCTATTTCCCTACTAGGTGATGTTGAACTATTATCCATGTGTCTCTCCCAGGGTTCCAATGTCAATGAAACGAGGTTCCACCTTCACTCCACGGGTACTTGAGCACAGACAGCAGGCTGAGTGCTGGGTGGGGACAGATCAAAGAAAAGTCCGTGCAGATTGTAGTGTCTGGAGAAAGTGTCAGTAGGTCCTTACAATGATGAATGATGCTCACATGGGAGGGATGACTCTGAGACGGCCGGAGGGCTCTGAAAACTCAGCACCAAGTTGCTAGGATGATAGAACTTGTATTCCCTTCCTCTTGGGCTGGACTATATGACAGCAAATGTGGCTAAAAACAATTCAAGCACAAAATGCATTCACATCACATTACATTATATCACCTTACATTTCTGCAGGTCAGATGTCTGAGATGAATTCGCTGCCTCAAGTTAAAGATTCCCTTTTGTTTTCTGGAACATCTAGCAACTACCCCCCCCCCCCCCCCGCCCCCCGCCCCGCCCTTATTTTTTCTGCTTTGTCTTATCCTTTGTATGGTGCTATGGGAATTGAACCCATGTACTTCATACAGACTAAACACACTCTTTCCCACTGAGTTACATCCCTGGCCTCTTCTCTTTCCTAGCTTCTTGGAGCTACTTTCACTCCTTGGGTTCTGGACCCAATGGGGAAAAAGCCCAGTGGGGACTTTTGCTGGCACTGTCACACCATGCATCCTCTAAACTTCCGGTCCCCTCCTCTAAAGTCTCCTGTGTATTATTATAAAAGACCTATCCAGATAATCCAGGACATCGCTCCACCCCCAACCCGTTTGCTATGTAAGTCATGTCCGTGAGTTCCAAGTACCCATGGGGCTGGGTAGGTGAGTATCATTATTCAGTCTGTCACTGCAGACCTGGGCTACGCAGTTGGAAATGGATTCTCCTGAGAAACCAGTACACGGGCCAGGCTCATTTTTTCATTTTGTTTTGTTGGGGCCCCATCCAGCCTTGCTCAGAGCTAACTACACACACAAGCATCACTCCTGGTGGTGCTCTAGGAACCATATGGGTGCCAGGGCTCGAACCCGGGTCAGTCACGTGCAAGGCAGATGCCCACCTACTGTGCTATCGCTCCGGCTCCAAGTCAGGCTCACTTTGCACACAGACTTGCTAATGGGATTCTGTGAAGTCTAAGCTTGAGCGCCAAGGAGTAGAGCAGGGAGCTGAGGTCTAACCGCAGATCTTTCCCTGCAGAGAACGTCAGGAAACAAAGGACACTGGCTGCAGCCTGATCTGAGACCTCCGGTCAAAGCCATTACAGCTCTACCGTTAAGTGCCTGGAAGGGCAGGAGGGAGGCTGAATGAAAACATCATCTATGAAATCAACCCAAGCCGGCACCTGGTGCTCAGTAAATGTCTCTTTGGATCCACGTCCTGAATTCATTCACCTCCCGCTCTTTCTCGGTCCTGATGTCAACGGGTGCTGCCTTCAGCCAGGCCTCCAAGAACCTTCCTGCCTGCCCGTCAGGTCCCCTGACTCAGTCCGGCTTAGAGGTGGTGGGTAGGAGCTACCATGAAACCCAGTAAACATGAAACCCAGTAAATGAGATGGTCTTAACCATGGAAATCGGCAAGTCTCAGGCTCTCCAAGGTTCAAGTTTCCTCCTTTATACAATGCAGAGAAGTGCCCACGGGACCGGGTGGTCCCACGGATGAAACGAGAATCCGAATCAGCGGCAACAAATCTGATTGGAACAAGAAAATCGTAGTGGGGCCTGAGATGCGACTCAGCCACCGTGTTTGGGGTCATGGGGGTCTATCCCTTGCCCCAAAGAGTCGTGTGTTAATCTGTCAAGGGCCTGGGAACTAGGATATCTAGGGCTTGTGATGCTTCTCTCAGCCTCCTACGGTCCCTCGATTCTCTGTGTGCCCTCTTTAGGCAATTCTGTCCAGGGGTTGGGGTGGGGTCCCAGTTCTGCTCTGTCTCCCTGGCTCAACCTCGAGGAGCTTTTCGCTGATGGTTACTTAGTATTCGCTCTGCCTGGGGGGTGGGGGTGGGGGGCTCATCGCCCCTCTGCTCGCCCAGCCTCAGCCTTCTTTGGGCCGAGTCCATTAGCCCGGCACTCGGGAGCTCTCCCGCGTGGACAGGACTTCATTCAGCAGGAGGGTCCGCGTCCCTTTGCGCGGTGGCATCCGGTCCCTCTGGTCCAGCCGGGGAAACTGAGGCTGGGCAGACCGACCGACCGAAAGGCAAGGCCTTCCCCGAACGCGGCTCTCCCGGGGAAGGGTGCTGGGGGCGGGGGCAGGGGAGGGCACCCCGTCCTCCCGAGCCGGCTGCGGGGCGACTCTCGGGCGGCTCTGGGGCTCGGGGCGCCGGAAACACGTGTGCGCTCACCTACGTGGACACACGTGAGCGCACCTCCAGCCGCGGGGGGCGCGGGGGCCGGCAGGGGGCAGCACAGACCCGGCTTGCGAGTCCCCGGCGCAGCCCCCAGGGAGGAGGGCGTGCTGCAGTCCCGGCGGCGGCGGCGGCGGCGGCGGCGGCGGCGGGAGCGGGAGGTGCGGCCGCCCAGGTGGGAGGCGGGGGCCGCGGCGGGCGCCGGGACCCGCGCCGGGGTGGGCAGCGGCCGCTCGGCGGGGCCGCGGCGGGCCCGGGGCAGCGAGCGGCGCGGCCGGCCGGCGGGAGCGAGCGAGCGAGGGAGCGAGCGCGCGCGCCGGGAGCACGCAGGCGCCCCGCCCGGGCTGGCCCTCGGCCGCGCGCCCCCCGCCGCGCGCCCCCCCGCGCGCCCCCCCGCGCGCCCGTCGGGAGCGGCCCCCGCGCGGAGCCCCGAGCGCGCCCTCCCGCCCGCCGCCCCCGGCCCCGGCCAGCGCGGGCGGCCGCGGCCTGGGCGCGCGCGAGCCCGGGCTGCGGCGGGCGCGGACGGCGGCGTCGCGGGGCGCTCCCGGGCGGCGGCGCGGCGGCGGCGGCGGCGCAGGGGGCGGAGGCAGGGGGCGCCCCCGGCCAGGATGCTGCGGCTCCTGCGCCGGACCTTCGGCCGCCGCTCCATGCAGCGCTACGCGCGGGGCGCGGCGGGGCGCGGGGCCGCCGCGCTGGGGGACGAGCGCGACGGGGGAGCGCGCGGGGGCCCGGCCGCCGCCGCGTCCGCGCTGCCCGCCGCGCCCGGGGGCAGCGTGTTCCCGGCGGGCGGCGGGCCCCTGCTCACGGGCGGCGCGGCCGTGCACATCTCCGCCGCGGGCGCCGCCAAGGCCACCCTCTACTGCCGCGTCTTCCTGCTCGACGGGACCGAAGTGAGCGTGGACCTGCCGGTGAGTGGCGGGGCCGCGCGCGCGCCCTCCCCGGGGGTCCTCTCCGGCGCGCGCCGCTGGCACCTCTCCCGGGGGTGGGTGCGTGGGTGCGTGGGGGTCCTCGTTCCCTTCGCTGGGCGCTCCCGCCACCCTCGTCCCCCCTCTCGGGCCCGCCCGCGCCGACCGATCTCTCTCTGTCCCCGCGCGGAGCCCCCCTCCCGGCCCGCGCCCCCTTCCCTGGCACGTTGCGCGTCCCGGGCGCCCGCCCGCCCGCCCGCCCGCCTCGTCCTTCGGGCCTCGTCCCCCCAGGCGCACCCGCCCGGCCCAGCGCCTTGGCGCGGCTGCTCCAGGTTCCCCTTCCGCCCCCTTCTCCCTCTCCCCAGCCCCCCAGCGGGGGGACCCCCTGGGTGTTGAGTTGTGGGTTAGCAGACCTCAAAGCCAGTGCGGCGGGTGGGCTACTACTCCCGGGGGGCGCGGGGTGGGGAGGGCCCGCTTGCTCCAAACCCTCCACCAGGCCCTCGGCGGCGAGAGGGCGGGCAGGAGAAGCTGTCTGGCCCGCTCGCTTGCCCGGCAGGTGCCCCAAGTTCGGGAGGGAGTCGGGAGACCCAGCCTGCGCGCATCCCGATCCCTCCTTCCAGTCTCCATCCCTAAGAGCCCAGCGGGGCCTGTGCCCTCGCAGGGGGTCGGGGGACTTGGAGCAAACTCTGGAATGGGGCTCGGCTCTCCTAGACCCCTTCTGCGCGCTGGCTGAGCTCCTGCCGCCGGGACCCTCTCTCTCCCCCCACCACCCCCGGGGTGGGTGTAGGGCTGGTACAGTGCCCATCCCACCCCCCCCCCACTTCGTGCCTGCAGGTACGGGGGCCAGAGCCGCCCCCCGCCCTGCCTACAGGTGGTTGCACCCCCGTTGCCTCCCTCCAGGAGAGAGGCAGACCGGGCGATGCCCTCTGCGCCCAGCGCCCAGCGCCCAGGCTTGGGGCCACCAACACGTCGTTCTAGGGGCCAGATCAGATCAGATCCAACCCTCACATTAACGGGGCGCCTGTGCGCGCCCGGCGCTGCAGCAGACGGCGCCTCTGGGAGTCTTTGGGTGTGACTTGAGGACAGGACCACGATGAAGATCTGGGTAGTTAAGAGATCATCGGGAGGCTTTCCAGGGCAAGACCCCGCTGCCACGCCGCGCGCGCACTGCGCGCCAGAAAGCATTTAGGCCTTCCCGCGGGTAGAGGGGGAAGGCTCCGGGTTGCAAGAGAGAGAAAAATTAGGGACCTGTGAGAATTTCAGATGTGGTGGGGGCTGGAGGGGAGTAGGAATACAGAGAGAGCCTGGCCTGGGCTTTAAGGCAGCCTCGGTTGGGTTTGATTGGGAGGCAGTTTGCAGTGATGGGGGTTTTATTTTTTGTGGCCCCGGAGGCATTGCACCACGGGGTATGGCTTTGCTGGGATAAACATCTTTGGGGGCCTTTGTGCTCATGGGAAAGGAGCAAACATTGCGGTGCTCGGGGGCTGCCTGTCTGTCTGATAGCCATTGGGAATGTTGCTGCTGGCACAGCTGCAAGGGAGCAGAGGACTGGGGGGTGGGGGGGGGGGGGTTGAAGGAGCGGGCAGTGAGTAGCTTGGGCAGGGTGTGTGTGTGTGTGTGTGTGTGTGTGTGTGTGTGTGTGTGTGTGTACACGGGCTGGCGTGCACGCAGGCTGTGGCGCATTTTGCGGCTGGGATCTGGGCGAGGCGTGCTCTGCTGGGAACTTTGACAGCGCTCCTTGCAGTGGCTTTTTCTAGCCTGCTTCCCAGGGTTTATGCCTTTGTACAGCGGATTGCAGCACTTAGCTTCCTGCCACAGGTTTAAGAGGTGTTTCTGGGTTGAATAAAACACTAACTGGGGGCTGGAGAGAGAGTACGGTGGGTAGGGCATTGGCCTTGCATGCAGCCGACCTGGGTTCGACCTCCGGCACCCCATATACCTCCTCTCTCCCAGGAGTGATCCCTGAGTGCAGACGCAGGAGCGGGCTCTGAGCACCCACCAGGTGTGACCCAAAAATAAAAATAAAAATAAAAACATAAACTTACTGATGTGTACGTGTGAAGAATGGTCTCAGACAAGGACCCCTTGGGGCGGGACCGTGGATTTACTGCAGTTTGGAGGGTCCTCCCTGAGCCTGTGGTAGAAGAATCCTTTGCATCCTAAATGTTTTTTCGACCTTATAAAAGTCTCCTTCACCATAAAACTCACTAGGCTTTCTTAGGACGACGTATTTCTTTCTTTTCTGTGTGTTTTGTTTTGGGGATACTCCTGGCTATACTCAGGGGACCATGTAGTAACAGGGATCTGGCATGCGGCGGGGTGGGGGGTGGTCAGCCGGCCTTGAACCCTAGCCTCCTGCATGCATGCAAAGTACGCTCACTGGCCCTTTTGAGCCATCTCTCTGGCTTGTATGACAGATTCCTTCTTTTCCGTAAGAGGCGACATAGCAAGCCACAAGCCTCATTCATTGCTCTAAGGAACATGAAAAGCCAGTGTTGGCTTTTCCCGTGTAAGTAACCCAGGGAGGGAACAGGAAGCCAACCCCCCAGCAAGCTTGGCTCGCCCATGATCTGCAGCCCCTGGTCTCTAACGCTGGTCTGCCCAGAACAGGGTTTGGTTCTGGCAGTGAGCTGGGTGGTCAGCGCAGGTGGCAGTGGCCGGCTCTGGAGGAACTTGGGACTGGTGGGCTCATGCCATAGACTCTGGCTTTGATGCTGTTGTTTTTATGTGTTTTTTTTTTCTTTTTGGGTGATACCTAGCCGTGCTCAGGAATTACTCCTGGTGGTGCTCGGGGCCGATGTCCCCCCACTGTGCGCAATGCAAAGGCCCTGTCTATTCTCCGGCCCCCTTTGATGCGGTACTTACTGGCTGTGTGCCCCACTTGTCAGCAGGCCCCTCTCTTTAGAGCCTGCACGTGTCTCGCTCCTGGGCTCCAGAGGGACCTCAGGACCTGAAGAACGGAAAGGACTGACCCCGGGAACACTGCTTCACCCCGGAGTGGCCTCTACTCTCAAGGTTCTAGACTGAATATGGTTCCTTGGCCGTGGAAGCCCCCGGCAGTTTGAGCTTCAAGAAATCCCTTTCCTCACCGTGCTCAGAAACTGCCTTGGTGTCCCAGGCCGGCCTCTTGTGCTCTGGAGTCACCTCGGCCACCTCGATGTGGCCGGCCCCAGGGCACCTCGGTTTGTGGTTTACTCAGCTGACGTTCCTGGGGTGTCTGGCAGCTGCCCGGGGCCTGTGCTGTGGACACGAAGGTGAGTGAGGGAGGGAGTGAGTGGTGGCCTTGAGGCACCCGAGGACCAACAGGCCGAAGCATGTCTTTCAGTGGTAAGGGCGGGCTCACCCCGACAGGTGCTGGGGGGCTGAAGAGTGCGTCTGGGAGCCTTGGCACTGGAAGTGATGAGGTCTCCAGGCCCGGGTGCCTGGTGCCTTGTTCGTCTGTGTTAAGTGCTTCATAGAGTGCCGATTTAGTGGACACAGGTCTATTTCAGGCTGCTTGTTGTGTCAAGTGCATTTCTTTCTTTCTCTTTCTTCTTTCTTTGTGTGTTTTGGGCCACACCTGGTGGTGCTCAGGGGTTACTCCTGGCTCCGCACTCAGGAATCACTCCTGGCAGTGCTCGGGGGAACATATGAATACCAGGGCTCAAATCCAGGGTCGGCTGTGTGCAAGGCAAGTGCCCTACCTGCCTGTACTACCACTCCAAGACCCTCAGGTTCACTTCTTACCCAGTTACAAAGGACAGTGGCAGCAGCAGTAGTGGCCTTCCTCCTCTGACAGGGCCTGGGACCCCTTTGTCAGGTGGGGGGGGAGCCCTGCATCCCTTCACACCCTCGCATGTTACTCAATCTTTTGCTATGGCTAGTCCCTGGTTTCTCACCCTTAGGTGAAAATGTGAATTAAAGGACCAGAGGAAAAATCTACTCAGGTGGGTCTGGAGAACTAGTACAGGGCTTGAGGCATTTACCTTGCACCCCAGTTGGAATTCCCAGCATAGCCTAGGGTTTCCCCCGAGCCCCACCAGTGGTTATCTCTGAACACGAATCAAAATAAGCCCTGAGCACCTCTGGGTGTGCCACCCCCCCCCCCCCACTAAAAATTAAAAATTCTGCTCGGGGGTGCATACTTTGCATGCACAGGGACCAGAGTTCTATCCTGTTCGGTCCCCACAGCACTTCCAGGTATAGCCCTGGGGGCCCCCAGCACTATTGGACCTGGGTAGCATCACCTCAGCCGGATATCTGAACTGCTGGAGTGGCCCCCGCTGTGGAAGCATCCCCCAATCCCCCCGCCCCTGCCCCCAGGAAATAAAAAGGGAAAGAAAAAGAAATCTGCATTGTACAGGTTGTACAGTCTGAAGCTCTGGAGTGACTTGTACACACCCAGATCCCAGGAGGCGGGGCCCTGGAAACCAGAGGGCCCCAGACTCTCCCCTGCATGGAGCCAGGCCCTGCCTTGGAAGACGACTCCTCCCTCCCTCCCTTCCCCTCCCACCCCCCAGCTCTGCCCTGCCCTGCCCTGCCCTGCCCTGCCCTCAGGTGTGGTCTGGCCCTGGGATCAGGGCTCTCCAACCTGCCCCAGACACTTCCCTTCTGTTCACGCAGCTGAAGGATCCCATCCGTGTGCTTGGCAGCGGCGCCCACTGTTGACTCATATTAGCTCTCTGTTGACTAAATCCCTGGCATCCTTTTTTCGCTCGTGTGGCTGGTGCTCAGCCCCGACTTCCCCCCGCCCCGCTACGTGCACAGCCTTCTAGCAGCTCCGAGGGGCAGGCTGGCGTGCACTCCCGCCAGGGCCTCCGAGGCCACAGCCTGTGCGCCCGGGTTGTGTCTGAACAGCTGCGCTTCCCTGCGCGTGCCCGGTGCTCTGTCGTTGGCACATCATCGTTCTTGTTGTTGTGGGACCATCCCCGTCTTGAGAAAGCTTTGGGTTCCAGAGGGCCACGTGGCACTGTCTAACCGCTGCAACTCTGCCAGCAGTAGGGGACTTGATGGTCTTTGAAAGG